TTGATTTTTTTTTTTGTAACAGAACAGGCTTTAGTACAAATTCAAAAATTTGCCACCGGACCTGTTATTTTTTAAATTTTTCTTCTGTTAATTTTTTCATTACAAAATAAAAATAGTTGGAATGATTAATGATTAATTAATTTGTCAGAAACTTCTTCTGATTAATTAATTTGTCAGAAACTATACGCCTTATCGGAAAGTGATGTATATACGGTTTATGAAGAATTCCATTAGCTTTCATTTGCCATGTTTATTAAGATTTTTAAATTGGTTCGAAAGATATACGTGATTAGCAGTTCTACAAAGAAGTTGGATAGTGGCGTCTGGAGAATAAAAACCAAACTAAAATTTGTGATCCAGTGTAATTAGAGAGTAAAAATAACTTACTCTCACAAGTGTCAAAAATTTGTCAAAACGTGCTAAAAGTGCACAGAGCGTGAGGAACGAAAAAAACATTTCGTGCTGGGAATTAACAAATCAGTTGAAAAACAATGATTTTATGTGTATTTATCTTATACGGCGAATAAAATAGAAAATATCTAAATTTTTTTAAACTTTGTGGTATTTTCCATGTTTGTGTTTTATAAAATTTACTTTCGGATGTACGCAAACAAAAGCTGTTATGGCAATTTGAATTTGCACATTTGGCACAAAGAAGAAGTCATTTACGATCCAAAAGTGGAACGTATTCTCTCCCATTTTCTTATATTACATTTACATTGGACCAAAATGCGTGATTTGAAATCAGTCATTTGAAGGTGTTTACACTGCTTGATCCGCATTTGCTTTGACTTCTCATCAAATGAAAAGGGAAGACAAAAACAAAATGTATGTAAACAAACACCATGATTCAATAATGAAAGGTTTTGTAAGAAAAACTTTCTCTCGCTCTAATTTTATCAATGACACTCCCACCATACTCCTAAAAACAAAAACAGTGATATTTCTTTTCCAAATATCTTTGCAAGTTTTAAGAACATTTTTAAATTGTTAGTAGTGAAATTTTTACTTTTTAAATTTGAAGAAATGTTTGTTCTTCATTCGCTGGCGCCAACAAGACAAAATGGGTGAGCATCGTTGGACTACAGAAATTCAATGTAGGCTAAAGAGACGAAATTCTCTTAAATGCCGAAATATATTTGTCGATATTCGTGGAGACCTCTTGATTCTGCCAAGTCGCTGTAAAGTAAAGCATGCAATGGTTTTGGTAAATGAGCCAACGAAGGTATTTAGGTATTGTCCTCCACAACACACTCCTGGTGTCTCCGAATGAGGCTTTGACGCAATATAATATTGCCAAACCGCATCCATAGGCCCAATCGTCACACGACAGCTCGGTTTAGTCAATGGCGCGATGTATGTAATTGCACACTTAAAAGGTTTACGCACGAGGCGAATGTTGGCTGGCGACCAACTTTGTTGAAAGCGATTAGTTGAAAGTAGAATGCAAAGTTGAACAATGCAAACGCCTTTTTATGGCGAATATTTTTATATTTTTTTATATTTGGATATTTTTAATCATTCAAATTTTCGGGCAACCCGGCGAATGGTTAATATTCTGACAGTTGTATAGTCTCCCCAGAATATTGAAAGTGCGACATCAAAGAATTCGAATTACCATATTCGAAACAATCGAGCCATATCCGCGAAGGAAACGTAAGCTCCAAATTTTTTTATTTGGCTTTTTTTTTTGTTTAATAAATACTGCATATTTTCCACAAACAAATAGCTTCTTCATATCCATCATCTGTCAAACAAATACAACAAAAAAAAAAGCTGAAAGTGGACCATCCATTCTCGAGTTATGCGCCATCTGACGTACGCAAGTTTGGTATATACATAGAAATATTTATTTTCAATAACAATCGGGGGTTATATTCGATGTAAATAAGCTTGTTTAAATTAAATAATTAAATCAAATTCGTTTTTGTTTTAAAATACCACCATTCACTATTATCCACACCTTTTTATGGAATTTAGCTCCCATTTTAGGAAGTGTGATTGAATTCTTCCCCTTTTTCCCTGCTTCCATAAACCATCCCTGTGGGTGGGAGTGCCAAATTTTAGACAAAAGCTACTTACAAAACCTTTAATAATTGAATCATGAACAAACACTACATTTATTATATTGTTAACGCTTTTTGGACACAAAAAGGCAATTATTCTTTGATTAAACTAAAATTGTGTAAAGCTCTTGTATAAATTAACAATTTTTACACACAAATTTCAAAGATTTATTTATTTCGTTGTGTTTGTTTTGTGTTTGAAAAATTCCAAATGTCAAAGACAAACCAAAGCTTTTGTGGAACTTTTGTTTCTGAGTGCGTTCAATAAAATAGTACGGCAATTGGAACGCATTTGTTTCGTGATTTTGTGTAAATGCGTCGAAATGCGTCATTCTGGAAATGTGAATTTGTATGGAGAAATGCGTGATTTGGCCTCGCATTTGAGGTTTCTCGCCCAAATGACGCATTTGGGCTCAATGTAAATGTAATATTACCGAATTTCCTAGCGTGAGGAACGCTTTCTGGGCTGTTATGGGCACCGGCTGGCTCGTATGGAACAAACCTAAGGGTTTAGCACAATAGATACATATTCTTAGGCCAAACAAAAGTTTGGTAGGTTTTTATATGTTTATTAGGAAATTTTGGTAGGAAAAAATATTTGACTGTGGCAACACTGTCATGCATTCCCGTACATTAACACAGAAGTATGTAAGTATCTATGAATGTGCATATGTGCTTGGAAGAGTTTTGACGCCGCCACGCGAAAATCGTAAAAGTAACAGCAAAAGCGAACACTGACGCAAACGCTTTTCGACGCGACCAACTAACGCTGTGGCCAGTGCACGGACTTTACCACTTTATTGGTAGATCTACCAACTTTTTTGCAGTATTTTATTTTCTACCATTTTTACCAACAAAGGCTTAAAGTCTACCAATATTTTCCGGAAAGAAAGCAAAAAGATTTAAATGAGCAGAGTGTATACATATTTTGCCATCGAATACACCTAAATAAATATGGAAAGTTAACTCTGACCATGGCCAATTTAAAAGTGAAATTGCATCTCTATCAGCTGTTTATGGAAATATTTTTCGTTTGCAATACTTTGTTTAGCAGACTGCCAAATGAATGGGTTGCATATTTCAAGCATTTCAAAACTAATTTTTATCAAACAATTTTGTAGTGCAGAGTAATTGGCCCTTATTATGAGCTGCATTCGATTTTCGATCTTCGCTGGCTATCGAAGATCGAAAGTGAAATTCGTATTATGAGCTATGCAAGCGTGTCGAAATTTTCGTTTGCTTTCGATGGTGTAGCGAAGTGTTAGAAAATTGTGAAAAATGTATGATTTTGTATATGTTTTCTTACATTTTGGCGGCTAGACACTAATTTTAAACAATTTTTATTAATTTCATGCAGTTCTGGCATCGTGAATACTAAACACAAGCTCGAAAGGCTGTTGGCACGATCTCTGAGAACAAAATCGTAGCGCTGTTGAGTTTTAAAATATTTTAAATAGATTTGGCTCACAAACGCCTCTTTAGATGGTCGGAACTTTTTAATGAATCTCTAGACAAATTTCTTAAATATATTTTATATCAAAATATATTCGAAAGACTAATAAACTTAAACTCTCTTAAACATTTGCTGTTGTTTTTGTTGTTGTAGCGGCTACTAAGCCCCGTTCGGGGCGGTTCATCCATCATCGTTGTCGTCTATTTCAGCTACGGGGAGGCCCAGGAAGTGTGCTACTTCCAGAGGGGCTGTCCATAAGGACAGGGGCGTTAGCTGAGTGGGATTCTCAGGGCATGTGAAGAGGTGCCGGGAGTCATGTGGCGACTCTCCACATGCCGGGCATTGGCTGGGCACATCCTCATTGATTCTGCTCAGGTAGCTGTTGAGCCTGCTGCAATAGCCAGAGCGAAGTTGGGCTATTGTAGGGCATTTGCTACTCCTGGCCAGTTTACTAAGCTCTCATCCTCTGACGAATCGGTGAACCAGAACTCGTACTCATTTTACCACGTTTTTATAAACTTGCTTTCTTTTTTACTTCATTTTAATTAGAACAAATTTACATAAATATGTATAAGCACACCATTTAGTTTGCTCGATTTGTAAACAAAGCTTCTCAGCGGTGAAAAATATACTATTGTGAACAACCTAAACGAGCGAAATTCACAATAGCGCTATTCTTCATCGAATGAGCGCCATAATACCAAATGAAAATTCGTTCGCTCAGCACTTTCGACCACAGTCGAAAATCGAATGCAACTCATAATAGGGGCCATTGTTTTTTTTTTTTAATGTAGAATAAAGGCATCCGTGTTCGAATCAAATTCGAATCGAAATTTCTTTTTGGATTACGACATTTGGTGGCGAGTTTGCTTTTTCAGCTTAAAATATATTTAAGACAAACGGCTGTCACGGATGCCATGATTCGGGCCCATTTTTACGTTTTTTCTTGAATGTTTTAGTGGCGTAAAATACATTTTTTGTTGTATTATAAAAAAATACAATTTATTCCAAGGTTAATTCAGATAAGGTGATACCAGAAGTTCAAAAACAAAACGGCCACTAACAAATTTTACGCGTAATTACAATAAGAATTTCAACAAATACATCATTTTGACAATAAGAATCACCAAGGCGAAAATCCGGCTGCTCTGATAGCATTACCTTACCTGAATTCGCCTTCATTTGTTCTATATGAGTAAAAACTATCTAATATTGTTTCTTTTAAAAAATCTACCAACTTCTACCAATTTTTGTATGTAAAATCTACCACTCTTAATTTTTTGGAAGTCCGTGCACTGGCTGTGGCAACTGTTTGAGAAATGGCAGCACGCGGGCGTGGGGGTTCCGAAGTTCTGTCGACGATCTATTGTTGGTATTTGTGAGGTGTTGGCTGGCGCTTCCGTGATCAGCGACTGGTGGTTTTAGCTGCTGCAGACGACTAGCGGTTGACGGCTGATGGCAGTGTTAGCGTTCCTAGATAAGCGCGCACATCGCATCTGGCGCGTACTCGTTCGTATCACGGCGCGGCTAATTCACACAATTCATAGCTATTGTGAGTGAAAATTTTAAATGCAATTTCTGATCATTGAAGGAAATATGCGAAAAATGTTGCTAAATTAGGAAACAAATAATCATAGATATGAAAATATTTAATATTTTAAGTGCGTTTGAAAATTCCATCATTCTGGAGGCAATTGCGAGTGCAGCGCTTGACAAGCCTCGCTAGCCTTGCGCCAACCATCGTTTAAAGATAGTAGAATATGTGTGTGTATTTCACGAACTATTTGAAGATGATATTTTCTTTATTTACATACAGTATCGGTCATATCTATAGCACGCTATTTCAAAGTGATATTGTGCGCAACTTATGTTTATTTATTTATTTCTAAGAATTTTCAACAAAAATGTGCAACAAATTTTCACCTAAATTTCAAACTTTTTGCTCGGAAGTGTTAGAATTTTTTTGAGTACACAGCTTTTAGACCCTGCAATTTTACCGTTAATTTTTTAGAATTTGTTTGGCTCATTGGCTTCCATATAATGAATAAACTCAATTTATTTGCCGAAAAAATTCTATAAAATCAACGGTAACTTTTAGCCACTTGCACATTATCAGACTAAAATTGATTGGGTTATAAAACTGTGTATTCAGAAAAATTCTAACACTTCCGAGGAAAAAGTTTGAAGCTTAGGTGAAAATTTGTTGCACTTTTTTGTAGTTTTCTTAAAATTTTTAAACTTGGGTTTATATGCGTTTTGTTAGAGAAAGAACTATATTTTAATTGAAAATTCTTAAAAATAAATAAATAAACATAAGTGGTACACAATATCACTTTGAAATGGCGTGCTATAGATATGACCGATACTGTACATACGTGCAAAGTGCTAACATTAATTCTAAACTCTAGTCCACAGTTGTAAATCTAAATAATAACGTAAAGTGAAATTAAATGAATTCATACAACAAATTTACTGAGTTTTAAGGTTATGTTATGATTAAAAAAAAGTCACAACAGATTCGCCTTTGACAATCGAAGCGAAGTGTCAAACAAAGTCTATTATACATACATTACCTTCTTAAAAAAAAACGAACAAATTCAATTTGCGAGCATTTGAAACAAATGTTGGCGACAACCATATTTTTCTCCAACTTTTACCTTTCATCCCATTTACTGCTGAACTTTTTGTTTTTCCTGGCAATACAAGCAATTAGTTTGTTCCAGCATTCTTCAGTCAAAAATCTGTTGAACTGTCAAACTTAAATTTTACTCTCTCAAATGCGAGTAAAAGGAGAACAGATGCATAAGTGTACGGGAAAGCAAAAAGCACTTTTTCCTGCAAAAACGTCAGTGCGTTTGTTAACATGTCATTGGAACTACACTGATATGGCTGAAAGATCAGTAAATACTTATTAAAATCTATAAAATTAAGAATAATTGCGTACATATTCAAATATTTCGTTGCTTACTTCCATTTTTTAACAAATGTAAGGTTCTTTGCTTTCACCGCTTTCTGTTTTTGTTTACAATTGCAACCCTGCCCGTCGTTTGACACTTTTCATGACACTTTGCAGGAAGGAAAACCTCGGCCAAAATCCTTCTGACTGGGAAGAGTTGCTCTGTTACTCCCACTCAAAAGTGTTCCCAGTGAGAGAAATTCTTGCGTACGGGAACGACTTCCTGTAATTTCATACTATGTTCTGGAGTACTGGAACAAATTAAATAGTAATGCGCGGCGATGATACATACGAGGCTGATAGAAAAGTAAATTGATTTTGTATGAAGTATTGGTTTATTTACATGGTTTACGCGGTTACTAGGCATTTACGCGTTTATTTATATACATATCACACGTTTATTTATATACATACATACTTACAGTCAGTCAATAAAGTTTAGGTACAGCGAATATTTTACAATACGGGCAACTATTTTTTAAATATTTTATTTTTCGCTATTTTTTTTATAAAAATATGGTTAAGCCTACAACAAAACAACAACAACAAAAACCCCAAGAATCAAAGTTCCAAACCTTGTGAAAAATCAAAGAAAATTATGCAAAATTTCATTCAAATATTGCACTTTCTATTTACGCTCTCTAGAAAAAAGTTGAGTATGCAGTTTTTTAGCCTATTCAAATTTAGTATAATAAAGTGCAAGTATGAGGAAGCTAGGACTTACCATTGATTTTTGGGAAATTTTTTTGTTGAAGGTGTCGCACATTTTTTCCATATAAAAAAATTATCAAACATTATTTTATACTGAGAAAATGAGCGACACCTTCAACAAAAAAAAATTGCTAAAAATCAATGGTAAGTCCTAGCTACCTCAAACTTGCACTTTGTTCTACTAAAATTTAATGGGCTAAAAAACTATATACTCAACTTTTTTCTAGATAGCGTAAATCAAAACTGCAATATTTGAATGAAATTTTGCAGAATTTTCTTTAATTTTGCAGAAGGTTTGGAACTTTTTGGAAGTCTGATTTTTGGGGTTCTTGTTGTAGAATTAACCATATTTTTATAAAATATTATCGAAAAATAAAATATTTAAAGAATAGTTGCCCGTATTGTAAAAAAATCGCTGTACCTAAACTTTATTGACTGACTGTATGTTTGGTACGGTAATAAAACTCATATATTGCATAGTCATAAGAGTTCCTGCGGATTTCTGAACTAATTTTACCCGATACAGCTGGAGATGTTTTTGCAAATTGCAAATCTACATTTATTTGGCGCGTAAAAACGTAAAGATAAGCAGTCATTCATAAGTCACCAAAAATCTTAATAATATTTAAAAGACTTTAAAACCATACCTCCTTTACATGATGCAATAATTATAATTTAATTTTTGCTCATTAGTGACATTAGAGTTTGGAAACTCCCTTACTAACGGTTGCACACACACACGGTGCCTTGCTAAAGACGCCGATTTTGTCAAGAGGGAGCGAGAAGACTGTTTTCTAAGCAAACCTTTTATTATTGAATCATGCCTCATTTATACATAAGTAATTTTTCATATCGAGTCCTTTAAGCTTTAAAGAGACAAAAGCATTATGCATATTTAATTTTTTCCAATTAATTATTTATGCGTCAGCAAAAATCTTTATAATTTTTAAAAGGCTTTACAAACGTGTCTCATTCCAGTGAAAAATTATCAATTGTTAAAAATAATCAACTAATAGTTAGCTTTTTAACGGGATTACGATAAATACCTCACATTTAATTAGCTATGACAAAACCAACTTAAAGTGAGTTGTAAAGTCGTTCAGGAGTCATGCAAACGCAATCGGGAGTTTGTTTTCTTAACAAGTTTCTGTTTAAGAATCCTCATATAATAACTACTTTGAATACATTTTTTTCTGCACTTTACAAATTCTTTTTCGAATTCGATATAGGACCACGTAGTGCGGAACATGTAACCAATTGAACAAATATGCAATGTGGAATGTAAATTAAATAAATAAAAATGTAAGCAAAAAAAAAAAGAATTTAAAAAATGTTTTTTTATTGACATTTTATGTCCAAAAGTAGTTAGTTACAAGTTAGTCGACATGTAATGCAGAAGTATACATGTTTGACTTTTTTGCGGCCCCACAAAAGTAGCTAGCTTTTCTCGAGCAAAATATACAGTTAATAGTTAGCACTAGTGTTCGTGTAAACAGACTAAAGTTAGGTGTAAGCTAACGTCACTCCCTGCAGGGTACATACATAAGTAATTTTGGATCTCAAGGCCTTGAAGGGACAAAAGCAATATTATTTATTATAATCAAGTTAAATATAGAAGAAAAACTAAAATCTATATTTTTACTAGCAGACCCGGCGAACTTCGTCCCGCCTAAAATTAATTTTTTTATAGAAACATTTGGTCCAACGCAATTCACGTTCACGTTTGGTTTTGTGGTCGACAGAAGGCATTGCCGTCTTAAATAACCTGACGAAAGCGTTATACCGGGAAGAAGTCCTTGCGGCTCGATAGTGAATCGTCCTTGAATCTGTATAGTACAGTTGGTGGCAATTTCTAAACTGGTGAGTATCATTGGTCCACATTCTGGTTACTCACCGTAAAGTAAGGACCGCAATGGTTCTGATGGTTGATTTAACGGGAGTAATTTGACTTTGATCCCTGGTGCCTCCGAATCGACGATTTTTAGCAATAACTCGGCTCCAGCGCCACTAAAAATTATCATTAAAATCGTTTCGGTCTTTTAGGAGGAGTTAAGCCACCGGAATAAGTGTTTCACATACTGACACTCTTCGGCATTTTTTCCCATACAAAAAAACTCTCACGCATTCATTATACGGAGAAAATGCGCAACATCATCAGCGAAAAAAATTCTCAAAAACCAACGGTATCTTATAGCCATTAAAAACTTGCACTTTATGATACTGAAATTGAGTGAACTACAAAACTGCATACTCAAAATTTGGTGCCATTTAATGCAACATGAACTATATTTCTATAAAACATTAACAAAAAAATTTATTATGAAAAAGAAAAAAAACACTGTATTCTGGGTGTATATATTTACAGATGGGTAAAAGTTTCAATATGTTTGGAAAGCACCACGTCCCTTTTCCAGTAGCCCCAAAAGCTCTTCACCAATTTCCAGGACACTACCACAAATACTTGCAGAGATATACGGTATGAAAAATTCGATATGTATGGGTGATGCCACGCTCCCTTAATATATCGAAAGTCTGCAGTAGGTGTCCAAAATTTTAAAAAATTGTTACGGTCGTTCGCGAGATCGCCTCTTATAAAAAGAAGGAACTTCTCTTTATATAATTAGTGTAGGTAACACAGGGCAACACCGATTTTGATGCAGCAAATGTTGAAGCTGGTTTTGATAGGCTTTTTTGTGCTGATTAAGAATACGTAAGTATAAAGTTTCCATCAGCTCCAGATTTTGAGAAAAATGTTGTGAAATTGTCAAAAAATCGCTTTTTTTGCAATATTTGAGAAGCTCTAGCAATGAAACAAAAGGTGATAGAACCCCCCACTAAGGCTGAAATTAAGGCTTGGACTTCTGACTTCAATCCCTGAAAATACC